GTCACAATCTCATTACAAAAAAACAGTGCAGTTGGTTGGAGGACAAACCAGAAATAGTAGTGATAGATGACGAGTAATTGATTGTTGCTCTATCCGATCATTTAAAATGTTTTTCATTGTTACAAATTATTATAACGCATAAATGTATTATGCATTTACAGACAGACTGGGGTCAACTTATTGTAGTAACACTAAATATGTTCATATTGCTAATAAATTACATTTATATTGCGAGTAGTTGTCAACAATTGAAAGTATTTTGTTAAATGTTTATTTCATTGTACTACACTACCAACCGTACACTACAGTACAGAAACTTCGTAAAAAAACCCGGAAGCTTTTCAATAGGGCTAAACGAACACAACAGTGGGAACAATATAAGAAATCCCTCACCACTTATAATAAGGAAATATGGAGATCAAAGAGGATACACTGGAGGCATACATGTGAGAACATTGAAAATACTCCAGCAACTGCTAGGTTGCAGAAAATACTCGCTAAAGATCATTCCAATGGTCTGAGCACTTTGAAAAAAGAGGATGGCTCTTTTACTACTTTTACAAATGAAACGTTAGAGTTGATGATGAGAACGCATTTTCTATGTTCTATTATTAATTCAAACGAAGACCAAAACGTAACGACAACAGCAATTGGTATCATTTGTACAATTATCATCAATTATCACAATTGTATCATGGTACAATTAGAAGCCGAAAAGTGTGCTCTAAGGATTACAAGGTCAGTGAAACTCTTTGAAGGAGACCTTAGACGAGATCTTAGGATTCTAAAAACTGTTAGTATCAACTCTCTACACACTTAGAATTTTTTACAGAAATCTGTAAAATTTTACCGAAATCTCAACAGCTGAACGTTCGGTAAACAGTTTCGCAAATTTTCTGTAATTTTTCACAAATATCTGTGAACTTTTCACAGATATCTGTAAATAATTACAGAAAATCTGTAAAATTGTTTACCGAACGTTCAGCTGTTGAGATTTCGGTAAAATTTTACAGAAATCTGTAAAATAATCTTAGTGTGTAGTAAGGAACAACGAAGACTGGATGGAGAAAAGATACAATTTCAATCGACTTTTTCAAGTAGTTGACCATGGGCGGTAATTCATGGCAATTTGGTGGCCCGGTTCTTTGTCCAGGATCGATTTTCTTTATACAGATGGTTCAAGATTGAACAATCAAGTGGGAGCAGGAGTAACTGGCCCAGGGATAGAAATATCGGTTCCTATGGGCAGATGGCCAAGCCATGTTCCAAGCTAAAATCCATGCAATTTTAGAGTGTTCCGTTATATGTTTGCGTAGAAACTGTAAGAGTTCAAATATATGCGTCATGTCCGACAGTCAAGCTGCTCTAAATGCTTTAAAGTCGGCGACATGTACATCAAAGCTTGTCTGGGAGTGTGTTCAATCACTTCAAAAATTGTCTTGTCATAATCAAGTCAACTTATAGTGGGTTCCTGGTCATTGCGGGATTGAGGGAAATGAAAGATCCGATGCACTAGCAAGACTCGGATCTTCTCATAAGTTCATCGAGCCAGAGCCCTTTTGTGGCTTATCGGCTGCATCTTTTAGAATGGGGCTAAAAGCGTGGGAATCTTCAAAAGTGGAGGAAAACTGGAAGAACACTTCTATTACTAGGCATTCGAAGCAATTCATTAATCCAAACATTTATGTGACCCACAAAATCCTGGAACTTTCTAAGAAAAGATCTTAGTATATATGCAGGTCTTACAACAGGTCATTGTCCGAGCCGTTATCACTTGAAGCTGATTGGTAAACTTCAAGATGATGTATATCACTTCTGTGGCATAGAAAAGGAAGGCTCGGAACATTTGCTATGCCACTGTCCGGCAATTTTCAATAAAAGGTGTCAGTTCTTCGACAAGGGGCTGATAAAACCCTTTGACATTTGGAGAACAACTCCCAGTACAGCAGTGCACTTTATTCGAAGTATAATGGCGTGCTGGGATAATGCTATTGGTCAAGCGATGGCGGCATATTTATATAGCTAAAAAAAAATGGGGAATATATCACAATAGATCAGAAAAATTGTTGCAGTGATGGAAATACCCGACAAGGAAAAAAAATAAACCGTACACTTTGGGAGATACTTTTAATCCCGCCAGGCCGCCAGGGGTTTATAATATCCACAAAGGGTAATTTATACATGAGTAAACGTGTTTTACATCATCGTTCAACTGCTGTATAATAAGTGTTTCAACTAACCCCACTATATGGGGTAACATGAAATAATACACACTTTTATCATAGAGGTAACTCTAAGACCAGTAGGTCCCGAAGAAATGTGCTCAACTTTTTGGCTCAGCTCTGGTACTATCTTCGGTCCCAAGCTAATCGATTCACCCCTCGAAACATAGGAAAATCCACTAACCCCTCATTTTATCTGTCAAACTTTCATAGCGAATCAAAACAAACATTGCGTAGTACTAGAATTTCGACTAGAATGGGGTACGTTAATCGTTTGCTTGGGACCAATAGGCTAGTCAAGTAGTGAGCCAATTTAAAATCGTTAGTTTCGTATTGATTGTTGCTATTATTGTATGCTTAACAAATATGCTTCTGTGGTCTTATGTGTAATTTTATATTTTTTATAATGGAAAACTCTTTCATGAAACTGTTGGTGTAAAAACATCTGGTGTCTCTAAATTAATTACTGTTCCAGAGAGCCTTAAAGTTCAAGTTTCAAAATACAGTTTCAACTTGCCCCGGTGTACATTACTTCTTATCTTTTACTGGTGCAAATTTCGGACTGGGTATCTTTTACCGTTTTAAAGTAATTATCGGAAAAATGAATGGACGATTATGGGCCATTTTAAGAAAATCATTAAACAAGAAAATGATAGTTTTCTTAGAGAATTTATGGCCGGTCACCACTGAAAGATAAGAAGTATTCAAGGATGTATTAAGCCATAAGAAAATTTTCATAAACCTGGCAAAGGTTTTTCCTGATTTTTCTTTCGATTTTCCTCCACTGTGATAAATGCCGTTGAAAACATTTTTCAGATAAATAGATTGCTATTTGAATGTAATTTATGAGATAATTTTCTTATCATTTCTCTGTACAACGTCATTTCTACAATGAGTTATAAATTATCAAAGTACGAGGTTTTCAGTTTTTTAGGGTGACTCCAAACTTGTGAGCGATGACATAATTAACTATTTTAATTATTTAAAATATTTTCAAAATAAAAAAAAAATCATGAACGGTGCTTGATGGGTATACAATAAGGGTGCTACTACCACTTTAATTTCAAAATTTGGCCAACCAAATTCTGAGAAAATCAGTCATGATTGTTCAATTTGAATTTGGGAAAATGTAACTTTAGGTGAAGTTTTATTTTACAAAACTTATGGATCCAAATACTTACGAAGTAAATTTAATTCAATATCTTTCAAATTTCACACAGAAAATGGAAATTTTACGTTAAATGGTATGTTGTCTCGGGGGTGCCCCCAATTTTTTTATCGGGAGTGTTAATGATTTCCCATAGTGAACAATTTGCAAAGTTTCACGGTAATCTGAAAGGGTCGAGTCTGAAATTCCGATTTTAGCTCATTGGTCTGGATTTGCCCAAACGACAATCGGTATCGATTATTTTTTTAATGTTTACCTTTTTCCAGGACGCGTGTGCACTGTATATGGCCTATACTTTGCATCAAAGAGCAATGTGGCAGCTCACATTAAAAACTTCCACAAACTGACTGGCAGTCAATTCAAGGCACGGCCACTTAAAATATTGAAGCAGTGATCGGAGGAAGTGCTTTGTGTGGTTGACGGCCCAGCAGATGTCATGGAAGTTGTCTGGCTGGATAACGTTTCTGTTGAGTTGCCTCCTGATGAGATGTTGTTCAATAATTCAGACATGGAGTTCCCGGTGATTGACAATTTCAACGTTTGGTGTTGAGCAACCTTTTGAAGACTATATGGAGAGTCACTATTAAGGTTTTTTATTGTTTTTATTTTTTTTATTTTTCCTTACTTCTTACTTTACTCTTGAGTTTTTTTTTCTTAGTTATATCTACGTATACAAATAAAAATTTGAATTTGTTGTTTTTCAGAAGAATTCTATTTTTTTGGTTTTCAGCGTATTTAGGAGCATTGGAAAAAAACCACGTAGACAGGTAGGGGGGGGGGGAGTTGCTAAATATCTACGGTTGTCTACGAGGGGGGAGGGGGGGTGTTGGAAATAGAGAAAAATCTGTCTACGTAGTTTATGGACAGCCCCAAATGCACTCTGTCAACACTCAACATATGTCGCATTCTCCTATCGTGCCGCAATTATGAGACACCGCAGTCGCTTCGGTCGATCGTTCGGTCTCGTTGTTGCCGCCGCCGGTTTCCGCGTCCTTTCTCGCACCGTCCGGTACAGTCTCACCTCCCTCCAATGCCTGTCCAACAACCTCATCTAATGTTGTAAGTGATTCCACAGTGATGTTGTTCACAGCACTTGTCAAGATCCGGGACAACCGTGGACAATACCAACTCGCTCGTGCACTCTTGGACAGCGGGTCACAATCAAGTTTCGTGTCCGAAGCGTTATGCCAACGGCTTGCGTTAAATCGCAGAAAAGTGAACGTGCCGGTGAGTGGCATCGGACAAGCTCTAGTAAACGTTCGCTATATAGTGACAGTACAATTCTCCTCTCGTTTCGGATCACATGATCATAATTTAGAATGCTTGGTGCTACCCAAGTTAACCGTTTGTCTACCAACAAAGACGGTTGATATTAGCACCTGGAAGATCCCTAAGCATCTACCGTTGGCAGATCCTCAATTCAACGTGAGTCACGGCATTGACCTCATCGTTGGTGCCGAGCTGTTCTCGATCCTACTGCAAGCAGAGCAAATTTCGTTCAATGACCACCTCCCGGTTCTACAGAAAACCAGCCTTGGATACATCTTTTCTGGCAAAGTTCCTACGAGCACACCCGCTCAAATTACGTGTCTGGTGTCTACTCTTGACAGCCTAGACGCTCAAGTGAAGAGATTCTGGGAAGTGGAAGACTTCGACCACGGCAAGACTTTCACGGCCGAAGAACAACGATGTGAAACTCACTTTGCCAAAACTCACACCCGCAACGCTGAGGGACACTATGTGGTCCGTCTACCAGTTCGCCAAGAGATGTTACCTCTCATCGGGGAGACATGGCCAATGGCCGCTCGACGATTCACCGCTGTGGAGAAACGCTTTCGGACCGATGATGCTCTTCGTACAAGCTACGTGCAGTTCATGGACGAGTACCAACAACTCGGCCATATGGAGGAGGTGAAGACGCGCGTCGCGTTGCCCCAGTTTTTCTTGCCCCATCACGCAATTCATCGTCCCGATTCGTCTACAACCAAGATAAGAGTCGTGTTCTATGGCTCGGCCAAAAGCAGCAATCAGCTCTCCTTGAACGACCTTCTGTTAACAGGACCAACAGTTCAGCCTTCAATGTTGTGCATCGTCATCAACTCTCGTTTCCACCGATTTGTCATGAAAGCAGACGTGGAGAAAATGTATCGTCAGGCTTTGGTTCATCCGGACGATCGACTACTACAGCAAGTTGCTTGGCGCAGAAAGGAGTCAGAGCCACTGAAAACCTACTGTTTGAACACCGTCACCTACGGCACATCTTGTGCTCCATATCTGGCAACCTGGGTCCTAAATCAGTTAGCTGACGATGAAGGGCATGACTTTCCACTGGCTGCCTCCATTGTCAAGAAGGACTTTTATGTTGATGATGTCTTGACCGGAGCCGACAGCATCGAAACACTAGTCGACACAAGCACCCAACTGGACGGCCTCCTAAAGAGAGGTGGTTTCAATCTGCGCAAGTGGAGCGCGAACCATCCTAGTATCCTGGAACACTTCCCAGACGACCTCAAGGAGAATCAACCGTCTCTAGAGCTTGATCGCACCTCATCCATCAAAACACTTGGTCTCTTATGGTCCCCGGAAAACGACGATTTTGCGTTCAAAGTTCCTGATCTTCCACAACTACAACGAGTTACAAAACGCATTGTCCTGTCGGAGATGTCGCAGCTTTTCGACCCTTTGGGTCTCATCGGTCCAGTAGTCGCCAGTGCGAAGATGTTCGTTCAGCGGCTATGGCAGGAGCAACTGAATTGGGACGATGGACTTCCGGAGACTCTTCAATCTTGGTGGCTGTCCTTTCGAGAATCGGTTGGTGTCATCCGAGATCTTCGTATACCACGATGGGTATTCAGAGATGATGCAGTAAGGTACGAGCTGCACTGCTTTGTCGACGCTTCTTCGAAAGGATACGGAGCATGTATCTACGTAGTATCGGCAGGGCCGACTGCCACGCGAACAAGCAATCTCCTCATAGCGAAATCCCGGGTTTCGGCACCAAATAATGTAGTGGATCTTGCCGAGTTTGGTGGCCAACGACTAAACCGGCGAACGGAACAGAAGACAAATCGGTGGTCTGGGTGTAATAGACACTTTTCGGGCAGTCGATGAAAAAATGCGTGTGGTTTGCTTGATGTACTTTTCAATTGTTCAACTGTGTTTAATTTCAAATGCAAAGAATTCTAATTACATGATCAAGTGAGTATCAAGATCCGCAACACCATTCCTAAAATTACTGATTTTGTGTGTTTTTGTTGGATCCAACTGTGTTTTCATAAACTTACGAGTATCTTCGCAAGCTTGTTTGGACTCTTTTGGTTTAATCACAATGACCGGATGAGTTTTACGATTATCCGGTTTGTTACTGTTATACCGCGGATACACTAGTATGACAAACTATGAACATGAGCATTATTTGTATAATAAATTATGAGCACATCCATGGTCACTCTTGTATAGTTTTTTGTGTAGTTGTTGTATAGTGCTCATAATTATTATACAAATAATGCTCATGCTCATAGTTTATTATCCAAGTGTTTTTATAACATTCGCAAAACTTGCTTATTCTTGAAAAACATCATTATCACTACTACGTAAACGTATACTTCCATTACACTCCAATGAACCCTGGTATTTTTACGATAATGTATATTAAGCTGAACATTGCATTACGTCCCAAGTAACATTGCTCGATTCTCTTCATCGAATTTCTCTTTCTTAATAACTTGGGTATAGAACCATTTCTTGTCATGTTTGTCGTTTTAGAAGATAGATAATAGCTTCTTTCATCGATCTATGAGCTGAAATAGCTGGGAATGTCTCAACATGGCCGTGAGGATGCAAAGAGAAAGTTGACGAAGAGAATCTGTCAATGTTACTTAGGACCTAATGCAATGTTCAGCTTGATATGTTGACGATGCGCATAGTGAATACCTCTACTATTTTGGAATTTCCTATTTTTGCGCATGGTATTTTGGTCCAATTCTGACTGAATTGTCCTAGATCCACTGCACTGATCGTTCTTTACAGGTAATTTGTTTTCCACATTGTTTTTTAAAAATGAACTATTCATACTCTCCAATTTCTCACAAATGGGGAAAAATATTAAAAGTATATAACCCGAATTGTAAGAGATGTGGTCAAATATGTGTATTCACGTACCATGATTTCCTCGAAACTATGGAGACTTCGCTTGACAACCTGACTTCTATTCAAGCTGAACATTCCATTAGGTCCTAAGTAACATTGACAGATTCTCTTCGTCGACTTTCTCTTCGCATCCCCACGGTCATGTAAAGACATTCCCAGGTATATTCAGCACATAAATCGATAAAAGAAGCTTTTATCTAGCATCCAATACGACAAACACATCAAGAAACGGTTCTGTGAATAAGTTATTAATGAAAGAGAAAGTTGACGAAGAGAATCGATCAATGTTACTTACGACCTAATGCAAAGTTCAGCTTGTATTCTATTCTAACGAACAGGTATTATCCACCCAGCAATATTTGAGATAATTCTATGAAATCAAAAGGAATCTTACAGATGTTTTGCGTTTCACATTGCGACCACGGTGTGCTGTTCAATGGTAGTGTACTTAGAAGTGAAATAACCGTGTGATTAAATCACGAAAACTGTGCAACATATTAACTGCAGTAATCTTCCTTCGGATCAAGCTACAACATGTATCAGAAATGATGTGTCTGGTTTGTATTTAATGAACGAAACACTGCACCGTTCCGACACAAGTGAAATACGCCCAGGGGTTTTTCGATTCCCACGATCAACCGACACCACCATCGCCTATCTTACTTCCCCCGCACCGAGCAATACTATACTGACACTTGCCGTGGTTGGGCGCGTTGACAAGGCATTAGCCGCATACAAGTAGGTACAAGTGAACCCGCGCTCCCCAACAATGTCAACACTCGTCAGTTTGTGTTTTTACTACTCCCAATCCCAAGATGCCCAGCGCTCAAGACAAGACCAGAGCTATCACACGCATCTAGAACGCAAGAAAACGATCCTAATAATCATTAAATGTTAAAAGCGAAAGTAACTCACCATATTGTACGCCGCGAAAGTTGGCGATGTCGCGAGGGAGGGGAGATTTTTAATGATCACAATTCTCAAGCAATCGTCACGAGATATCTTCCTCTCTTGGGTGAGAAATGCGTCCGTCACAAAAAGAAAGGGGTGACACTTCGATACTGCCTCACTGCTAGTTGTCAAGTCAAGTATCCTACTTTGATCTCGTTGCCAGAACGCCAGTGATCGTGTGAAAGTGAAAATTGTTTCAATTTTTCCGGCTTCCTTTGATCTGTTCGGAAACACACCCGGAACAATGTGTCTGCCGGTACTTGCCAGAAGGGTGGCAGGAATCAAAGAGCAATGTTCCCCTGCGCTCGTCATAATCGATTCAGTTGGATTGTAGGCGTATTCCCAAAAACCGTTGCAACTGCTGATTGACAGCTATCGATTGCTGGCTGTTTTCACCATTCAGGAAACACCTGCACCAGAGGAAACCAATACCGATGTAGGGTTCGCTTTGCGTTTGCTAGGGGGTGGAGTTATCGTGTTCACACGGTTGAAGGTAAACCATATTTTAACACGCTGCTGTTCTCTGTCGTTTACGCTCGTTTCCAGTTGTGTGGTGTCTGGAAAATCCGGTTTGCCGGGAAGGTGTGTGTGCAAACAGGTGAGAAAACGTTGGACACAGGTGTATTAGTGGTTACCGACTGCGTTGATTGGCTGTTGCTTTGCTTATGTACGAGCGGACAAGGAATGAGGAAAAACACATTCGAAGAGATACAATTTGTTTGTGTTTTTTTTTACTCGAAGCCATAACCGAACAGAGGGCAGCTACTGCAGGAACCGGCGATGAGAATAAGCCAAACCTCTCAAATTACATCATCACGGTTAACACGGCCATCACTCGAGCTGAGAGCACACATGAACCCGGCATTTAACTACGACTTCTTAATGATACACTGCCATTCATCAACGTTTAAACTCATCAACTGTCATAAAATTTTCATTTCATATTTTCCTCCTCGCCCTGTTCCTGTTTGGATGTTGTTTTTATTTCACTTTTAGAGCCCACCCCTCATCCTCCGTGTTCCGACAGTCGTCGTCATCGTCGTCGCAGTCGGGTCCGGTGCAAATGAGCATATGTAGACACAAGGAAATTTAGATCTCTCAACAACCAGACGATATGAAACACTTAATCCCTTGGAACAATAACAAATGAGAGAGATCAGACAGCCCAGGGTTTGGAGAATTAGATTGTTGTTTCTACTGTACCAGGACTTTGCTGGGACAAACACATGGAACTGGATGCATGCTGGATAGAGTCAATCATATTTCATCATTTTTCTGTGTGCCCGACATACCTCTATCATTCGTTTGGTATTTTTCAGGAGACGATGTATTAGATTTGAAAAATAAGAGATTTTACATTTGTCAATATTCTATAAATCTCACAGCGATCACTAATTTTAAATCTTCCCATTATGTGATGCATCATTACATGTGTTGTCAAAATTTAAACGCGAGGTAATTATGTTTGATTAGTAATATAGTCAACAAATTATTAACTAGACCATTTGCATGCATTCAAGACACTTTAGGAAAAGAAGAAAATGTGAATGCTTCTTGAGTCTCTAAATCTTCAAATGAAACTAAGTCGAAATGACATCATAGAAGATACAGCCAAATACCGGCTGAAGGAGATTTTTGGAATGATGCGCTCTGCATTGTCCGATCCGGCTAATCGAAGCAAATCTGCTGCACCGTATGAAAAATTCATGTGAATTTCTGCGCACACGTTGTAAACGCTCACCCAACCGGGGGATTTACGATTTGCTTACAATTATAAGGGATTCTAGTGGAGACTGCATGAACGGAGGATGAGATGTACACACAAAAATATTGAAATCTAAATAGCATAAAAGCTACACTAAATCGCAACGCTCCTTACCGACGCATGACCAGGTATAAAGAGAGGTAATATGCACTTAGTATGAAAATGGTTATGGTTATTACATTCGACCCCACCATAAATAGTTGCAGTTTTGCATGAACTAAACAGCGAAACTTAACGCTTTCAATTTGACCCCAAGGAACTTTGAAAGGCTGTAACTTTTTTATTTGTCGATGGATTTTTCTAATTCATTCATGACTAGGTGCGTCCACCAGAGTTCTGTAATATTAGATGAAGTCTGCTCCAAAAAAAACTTGAAAACAATAGAAATTGAAATACTTACACACTTAATCTAGCTAGGTAAAATCTCCAACAGCCAATTACTTTTGCTGATATCTCTGCAAAATATCTGTTTGTTAGATGATATCTACACTACACACATCTACACATCTAATGTTATTTGTTAGCTGAATCTCGGCAATTGTTTTACTGAATCTCAGCAAAATAAATTTCAGAACTGCTCGGCTGTTGGAATCTCGGCGAAATTTTTTTTAGTGTGTACGTTGTATGTACCCTGAGGTCAATTTGACCCTAAATTCAAATTGCCGTATCTTGACGAAATGTCAATGGATTTCTGAAATTTCTAATGATGACTTTTTAGAGGGGCGGTTCTATCATAGGGAGGAGTGATTGTGAAAATATACCCATAAAGAGGCATGGTGTAAGAGATGTTAATATCAGGAGGTCTTCCTCCTGCAAAGATATTAAAACTATGGACAGTACCTTAGTAGGCGGAAATCATCGAGAGTGATGCTCGAAAAAGTGTTATTATTTTATATTAATAATGCCAAAACTGGGTTGCTGAAACAAGAATGTAATCAAACTTTAT